AAGCATAAGAAAGAAACAACAATGGAGCTGTTATCTGTTAAAAGTGTGGGCACGAACAGGCAGTTGGACATTCCCTGAGGGGTCTCAGATTGGAGAGGGTGAAGGCCAGACTGAGGGGCCCTTTTCTCCTACCCCAGTGCACGAATTTCGTGCACCAGGCTACTAGTATATTATAAAGAGAGATCAGGACAAGAGATTCTGAACTTTACTAGTTCAGTGATAAATTCTGGGGAGCCAAATTGCAAAGACTCTTCTAAAAAGATTGCTGATAATATTGGAGTAACATGATTGCATAACTTATTCAAACAGATGAATCATCCCCTGTCAATCACTTTTGGGAGCGCTGATGAACCCGTTATCTTCCCTAGCTTTTATAAATTAAACAGGCTGTGTCTTTATCACAAAGCTATTTTTATTTTTTCTCCTTCCTTTCAGGAATCCTATCCAAAGAAGAGGAATTACACTATGGAAATTGTACCATCTGCTTCTCTGGATACGTTTCCTTCAGAAAACGAGAACTTTCTCTGTGATCCCACGGACACAGCAGTTACCAAGAAACCCTGCTCCTTAGAAATTGCAAGAGCCCCTTCCCCAAGAACTGGTAACGTGTCTTACAATTTGATCTGCGTGCTTGTGTATGTGAAGAAATGTCATTCATATTTTGAGTTCCCACAATATTTTCAACATGGAAATTCCCCAATATAATCATGATAACCTGTTTCTTTTTTTGTTTTGTTTTGTTTGCATTTTGAAGTAAGTCCTGGTAAGTCAGAGGGATTTGATGTGAAGTCTCTTAACTTCCTGGCAAGAGGCCTCATAGGAATGACACTGCCTAGGTGCATGGCTCTCCATGGTACTTACTGTTCTTAGGGTACAGGTCCTTGATTACTTTTGCTCTTGGCAGCGATGACCTAAAGAGACAATTTATCAGTCTCCTCTCCTACACACCCAACTTATAATAGTGGAACAAGCGTAGGAAGGCCACAATTGACATTCCTATTCAGACACAGGGAAAACAGGGCCCACAGCGGTCACAGCCTGTGGCTATTATGAAGCTAATCAGACACAGTTCCTTGATTAAGGGTCAGTCCTATGCATAGAAATTATTCTCTGGGGCTCTAGGTTCCAGCCTCTGAGTCATTCTTCCTTTTCCATAAAAAAAACCCCACATCTACAGCTGAGTGTCTTTCTCACCTGTTTCCTGCCTTTAAAATTTGAGCAGTCAAAAGATCTTTCATTGTGTACTATCTCTGTTCCTTCCAGGTCAAGCTGATATAATTTCTTTTAAAACTTCGTGGACTTTTTGTGTTTCAATTTATATTACACCCCATTAGACAAAAGCTTATATTCCAGATAAGCTCTTCTGAGTATTGGGTGACTTCTGTGAGACAATGTCCTTGAGATTCTTAGAAGTCCTATTGTTGAACCGAGAGGATCTATGAGATATGCCCTTAAAAATCCTTAAAGGGCCTTTCTGTTTGGCTTAAAGTTTCTATGGGGCTCTTCTTGAGATCTTGTTTGGGTGTTAAGGAATGATTTTGTACTCCCACCCAGACTTGATCATTGGCCTTCTTAATTTGAGATATTATTATTATTATTATTTATTTATTTATTTTGCCATGTGGAGCTGCTGGAAAAAAGAAACCAATTTTGTTTTTATACCCAGAAATTCCTGGCTCCTTTGACTTTAGCAGGCCACTCTGCAGTTGTCTGAATTTTATCATAGGCAGCCAGAAGAAGCTAAGTTCTACTTTAAATATTCCGCCTGGAAATCTCCTTAGCTAGATCATAGAGTTCATTCGGTTCAGTTGCTATTTTCTATGCTACCGCAGATGTCAATGTTGCCAAACTTTCTACTATGACATGACACGTGAATCCTTGCCTTGAGCTTCCAATTGCATTTTCTGTCCTTGGAGCTTTACAAACCGCTTCCTCATAGTGCTTTGGGCTTCCATGAATCATCTCCCAAAGGCCATTTAGCTTTTCACAGTCACTCACTGGGAGGCCCTTCCAGCTTGTCCTGCTGCCCAATCACCAAGTGAATGCCACTCAGATTTTTGATATGAAAGCACCCCATTTCCAAGTACCACAATCTGTTCTTATTATTGATTGCTGCATAATAAGCCACCCCAACACTTAGTGCGTTAAAACAACAGTCATTTATTTTTCTTATAAACCTGCGATTTGGATAGGGCTTGGCAGGGGTAACTTCTTTCTGCTCCAAGTGATATCAACTGGGACAATGTTGCCAGGTTCAGGACCATCCAGTCACAAGGTCAATACTTATTCATATGGCTGACATGGTCAACTTGGACTTCCTCATGGTATGTGATGGGATTCTAAGAGCAAGCATCCTTAGAGAATGAGGCAGAGCTCTAGGTATGACATTTTATGACTTAGCCTCAAAGACAACATCAATTTCATTGTAGTTAAGAGGCTGCCTTTATTTAAGTAGGAGTAATTTAATCTTCCCCGACCCTTTAAGGAAATGTATTACTAAAGTTACATTATAAGAGCATGGCCTGTGCAGCTCAGTGCTTGAACGTTGACCGATGAACCAGAAGGTCATGGTTCGATTCCCGGTCAGAGCACATGCCTGGATTGCGGGCTCAATCCCCAGTAGAGGGATTGTAGGAGGCAGTTGATCAATGATCCTCTCTCATTGATGTTTCTCTCTCTCCCTCTTCCTTCTTCTCTGAAATCAATAAAATAATATATTAAAAAATAAAGTTATATTATAAGAATATGTTCTTGTAGCCACATTTGGAGAATACAAATCCCACAGTAACTGAGTGGGTTAAGAATTAATTTGCATGAATATGATTTTCCTCAATTGTGTTCAGTCATCTGGATTCAGTATAAAAGAAGTCAGTTTGCTTAACTGACCCAGGCTTATATCATAATTATTGGTCACAGTCCAGTGGCTTTTTCAGATGTAGAAGTGAGGCTGGCCCACAGTACCTAGAACAGTGATGGCGAACCTTTTGAGCTCGGCGTGTCCGCATTTTGAAAAGCCCTAACTTAACTCTGGTGCCGTTTGTCAAATATGGAAATTTTTTAATATTTGAAACCATAGTAAAACAAAGATTTATATTTTTGATATTTATTTTATATATTTAAATGCCATTTAACAAAGAAAAATCAACCAAAAAAATGAGTTCGCGTGTCACCTCTGACACGCGTGTCATAGGTTCGCCATCACTGTATTAGGGAGTTACTGACTTCTCAGGGAGTTATGGATGTTTTTCCTTTGTTACTGAGTCCTGTATTGACTGAAAGTAGGACTTTTGGATATGGAGACACCTCTTGATGCATCTGAGTCTTTTAAAGGGACTCAGATGGAACTGGGTGGGTAACTACCCTCCAGTTCCTCATCCACTCAACATGCATTTATTGAGTGCCTCTTGTGTTCTAGACATTGTGCTACATGTTGCAGAGGAAACAGAGTGAAAGGTACAAATCTTGACCTTTAGGAGCTTAGAATGTGTTAAAATTATGGGTAATAAGTGCAATGAGAGAGGTAAACATGAGGTTTTCATGGGAGGGTAGGAGAGAGTGAGTGGAAGCTTATGGAGGGAGCTGCTGCCTGATCTGAGCCTCAAAGAAGGAAGAGTTGGGTGGATGAGAGGGACTTGTATGTCCCCCAGGCTAGGGAATGCTCTTAGGGAAAATGCATAACAACAAGAGTGGCATGCAGAAGTTTGGGTCTTACCCCACAGCAGGAGCAAATCACTGACAGACGGTAAGTGGGGATGTGACGTGATGGGTTTTTGTTTTAAAATGACTCTCTGGAAGCAATGGGAGGATAGACTGGACAGAGATGAGACTAGAGGCAAGAGGATTAATGAGGAGATCAATGTGCAGTCTCAGGAAGAAATGGTGGAGGCCAGGACAGACGCAATGGCAGCCCTGAGGGAAGAGGGACAAAGCTGAGAGTGAAGCTCATCCCCTCCTGCCTTAGGGATTCCGACATCTGTGAAGTAAATAGCCAAGGGAACTAAAGTGTTACATGTTAGGGAATGTGTTTTATAGTTTTCGGTTAGTTGTGTTGGATAAAATGACATAGGCTTACAGATAAAATGGGGATCTCTACACACACAAGAACTGGATTCTGAAGGAAAGAGAGAGAGAGAGAGAGAGAGAGAGAGAGAGAGAGAGAGAGAGATAGAGAGAGAGAGAGAGAGAGAGAGAGAGAGAGAGAGAGAGAGAGAGAGAGAGAGAAAGAGAGAGAAAGAGAAGGAAGGAAGGGAAGAGTTAGGAAAGAGATATGATGAAGGGATGATCAGATATTTAGAGGGACTATTATGGTTAAATTATGCTCCCCCTCTCCTTTTTATGGAATCCAATTCACATTCTAGTACCTCAAAATGTGACCTTATTTAGAGTGTTTGGAAAGAGGGTCTTTATAGAGATAATTATGTTGAAACAGAGTCATTAGATGAGCCCTAATCCAACATGACTGGTGACCTTATAAAAAGGGGGAGATTTGTCCACAGGCGATATGGAAAGAGAAAAGATGATGTGGAGAGAGACATCTGAAAACCAAGGAGAGAGCTTAGAACAAAACCTCTCTCGCAGGCCTCAGGAGCCACCAACCCTGCCAAAATCTCAATTTCAGGCATCTAGCCTTCAGAACTGTGAGATAATACATTTCTGTTAAAATACCTAGTTGGGAGTGCTCTGTTACAGCAGCTCAAGGGAACAAATATGGGGACCAAAACTGAGCACACAAACTCAATACTACACAGAAGGGAGGGGTGAAGGAGGATGCCTGGGATGTGAGGGCAGACTCCACCTGGCCTGCTTATCTCAGAGGCTAAGCAGCTTGAGGGTCATGGTTGTGACTGGCAGTGTCATTCATAGATATAGAATATACAGTTTCTCAGAAAATCACAGTTAATATGCATCTTAGTTACCTTTCTGTGGGCTGTCCCATGTATTAACTAGGATGAGCTAGTACAAACTATTATCTCACCCTGACCACAAGGAAAAAAATTCAGCATTTCCACCATTTTGATTTAAATATGAAGCACCTTATTAGTAAGGCTATATTCAACAAAGTTTTGCAGTCCAACCAGAAAATGAGGGATGCTTTTACCAAGGTGCATCTTAACTAATGCCTCAATGACTACAGATTTTACACAGAGTAAGACATGTCCCAAGGTGCATCTTAACTAATGACTACAGATTTTACACAGAGTAAGACATGATATTGCTGTAGTACCAGGCTCATTAAATAAAGAATAACAGAAGTCCAGTACTTCCTTGGTAATTTGCTGTCTGAGGCTCATATTTATGCAGTCAATATTGAATCATATTTTTCCCTTATTGTATCAGGGAAAAAGAACCGCATATAATCACAGTGGTGACTCAGTTGCATAAATGAATGAATAATCAAATGAGTGAATGAATGAATGACCATTATCTTTAAAAGAAAATGGCTGTAATGGCAGAAAAAGCCCTTATGAAATAGTCAGATGCCATCAAAGATAATGTTTTCTTATCTGCTTTTCATTTAATTTTAACCTTCACAGGGGAATATTTCTATTTTATGGTAACTAGGCAACCTGTTATTTTGAATCACTTAGTACAGGCTTTGCA